TAAAGCTTTAAAAATAGTATAGATCGACACATCTATGAACACTTGAAAATATGGAAAATTGACAGTACAAAAATACGTTACAAAATACACTATTTTCAAAACTTGAAATCCATTTTTTTTCTCATGTCCATGTATCTTGATGTCGAAATGATCAATTTGAAGATATTTGAGCATCAAAACAACCTCTTCTAGTGAAATTTTTGCGGTAGGATCAAATTTGATTGTTTAGAGCCTCGGCTCTATATAAAGTTAGTTTAATCATATTGGAAAGTTTAATCATATTGGAAAAAGATAACAAATTATGGGAGAAGATTTGGTGGTCTAGCGGTCTCTTGCCAAAACACACAGTGAGGGTTCTTTTTCACGGATGAGGTTTCTACAAGGCTTAGGCTCTATGAAAATAAAATAAACCCACACATCAAATCCTCATCCAGAAAGCACTTCCTGCAACGGAAATCTCCATGATGGCTCTAACATCAAATTTCAATACCGACAATAAAATTCAAAACTAAAAAAATGGTACAGATCTTACGGATCTATGAACACTTATTTTTATGGCGAAATGGACGATCTAGATAATTTTTTACAAATATGCACTATTTCTAGAGCCTGAAACCTATTTTTTTTCACAATCATAATATTTGAGCCAAGATGATTGATGCAAAAGTTTTCTAATACTCGAATTGTAATTTTTGATGAGTTATAAGATAAGGCATGACTTGTTTTGATAGAGTTGCAGCCCTATCAAAACTATTTTCCCTTTTTATAACATAATTTTAATAAAAATTTTCACATTTTTTAGGTCAAGAAAAGAAAAGATTTGGAACTCAACAAGAAAAAAAGAAAAATTAAATCGATTTCCTTTTAACTATGATGGGAATTATCAAATTAAATTTTCACAGTAATTCTTCTGGGAATCTTGGTCCTACGGGTAATGGAGGTTTGGTGAGAGAGTTAGATGATCAGGTCTTATTTTCTTACGATGGTCCATGCGGCATTTCTTGAACAAACAAGGCTGAATTCTATGCTTTGCTTCAAGGTCTAAAACTGCTAAAAGAGAGGTATATTGGTAGTTGTTGTGTTGTGGAGGGCGATTCGTTAAATGTGGTCAATTGGTGCAATCAAGTAAGCAAACCACCTTGGTCATTACATTCTTTATGAGCTGAGGTTACAAATTTATGTTGCACGATTGTGTTTCAACTTATTTATAGGGAGGTAAATATTATATCCGATGCTCTGGCTAAGAGAGGGGTGACTTCTAATACTCCGATTGTTGCAGATGAATTGCTTGTGTGATGTATTTGTAATTATCATTTGATTAATAAAATTTTGTGATCCTTTTCATTAAAAAAAGAAAATCATTTCCTTTACTCAAATTGCTTATACACTACAATAGGTCTAGATGATATTCAAATAGAAAAATCCATCTAGCTATCTATTATTATAGGGAAATTATCGTAAATATATTTTAATTTAAGCTTAATTGGAAAAAAAACTTTAAACTTTTGTTTATCTCGTCTACACTATTTTTTCTCATTTTTGGGGACCAAAATGACCTTCATAGTATTCTTACTACTGTAATACATATCATTTTATATGATATTTTAAATACCATAGCAACTTCAAGTAATATTACGGTATTTTAAGTACCGTAAAACTCTGGTAATGACCGTGAAGCCAATTACGATACTTTAAGTACTGTAATAATTAAAACCCATTATACGACATTTTAAGTACCATAAAAACTAACCCATGTTATACGACACTTAAAATGCTGTAAACCATTTTCTCCTTTTATTTATATTTATTTCTTTCATCTCTAATTCTTTTTATGTTTATCTCTTATTTCTGTCTCTAATTCTATTTAATATTTATCTCTTCTTTCTCTCTCTAATTTTTTTTTATCTCTTCTCTCTCTCTAAATCTTTTCTCTCCCAAACTAAGATTTTTGGCCGCGTCCAAATTGGCTCTTCCGAGTAATCGAATACTGATTTCGGCTATACAAAATAGAGGACATGATCTATCTAAAGAAATGATGATGAGATTGTAGAGAGAAAGAAGAGATACAAAAGAATTAGAGAGAGAAAGAAGAGATAAATATTAAAAAGAATTAGAGAGAGAATGAATAGATAAACATAAAAAGAATTAGAGATGAAAGAGATAAATATAAACATAATGAGAAAAGGGTTTACGCATTTTAAGTGCCGTATAACATGGGTTAGTGTTTACGGTACTTAAAATGTCGTATAATGGTTAGTGTACGTTTACGGTACTTAAAGTATCATAT